CGCTAAAGTTATCAAAACCTTGGAATTCTTAGAAGCAAGCCTTGATGGCAATAGAGATTTCTGTACCTGGTTACATATTATTAAATAAGAAACACATTCTGCAGCAGTATGAACGGACTACTTAATACTGCCTATGCAGGAATACCAAATAAATATATACACATTGTTCTGTATCACTTACATAGAATTGCTTCTGGGAATTTTTAATACAAATACTGCAATTTTCACCTCGTGGATACTATATTTTTTCTCGCAAGAATCTAATCTAACTTAATCTCCCTGACTGTGGAAGGTGAGTTGCAGTTAGAAGGGTTAAGTTGGCTAGTCGCCCCGCCCCCTGCCAAATCCCTTTTCAGAGCTTAGCGGTCGCCATGTAATCCCGCCCTCTGCCCTCTGCAATGCACCAGCCTGATACTTTATTGTCTAGCACGACACATTTCCAATTTAGATTGAATTTCATCCAGGACTGGCAGAGAATTTATTTCTATGAGCCTGGTAAGCAAGTCGTGTTAGTGGACTACGTCTGAAAACAACTGGAAACCTGGGATTTACTACAAAGTTCAGCTGCCGACGCAAAAGCGAAAGAACATCGCATTTGACAACTATTTTTAATAAGATGGTCATCTGCTTCGCAATTTGAACGAACACCTAGGCCCTGCGACCACCTATCCCGAGGTGTAACACATCCGCAGGTCATGGCCTCGCGTTTCAAACTAACAATGACGCCTCTGCCTTCCTTAACAGCTACCTCACTTGCAAGCAAGGAAAACAAGTATGTTAGCAAACAGTATCTTCAGTTTCAGTAGTCATACCATTAAAAGTCTCCACATCGATCACCACGCTGTTACGTTACGCTCTCCACGAGCGTCAACTTCAACCAGCTGTTAACAACGCGTGGCTGCCTGGCTAGAGCTGACTAAAGATGTATATTAACTGATCGGTTCTACTATTCTGGTGTATGAAGTACCACTGAACCACAGAAGTAAGACAGAATGATTTTTATTTTTCGTTCGTCAAAGTGTTAGCCGGGCTAACACGGTTAACATGAACTGTCTGCGTCTAATTATGTTAAAACACGTTACTATCATACACAGTATTTTCAGCTGTTGATAAGTTTCACTGAAAACATAAAGCAAGTTAATGTGATTCAGTAAATATAGGTTATGTTATTCCCCATTCTTCAACTAAAAATTAAGTTGTACGAACGGCAAAAAGATACAGCAACATGAAGGCACACCTTGAGTGGGCAACCAACCCATGTATTCAGCATGATCTCCACATATTACCAACATTGCCATGTGGTTAGTTCCATACTTGTAACGTGAAACAATTCAATATCAACATTAAAAAATTTAGTAACATTTATATCTATAAACAGTGATACAGTATGAGGCAGTGTAGCTCAGTCAGTATAGTGACTGGGCGATCGGGGTTTGATCCCAGACGGGGTCAGAGGATTTTTCCTCTAGCCTCTGCGTCCAGACCGGTTCTGGGGTCCACCCACTTTGTGCTGAAGACAATTCAAGTATCCAAACTGACACCCCAACATACATTTGAGTTACAATTTTTTATTCTAAATTTAACTCTGTTGTAAGTAATCATAGGTCACACAAATCGTGTGTTATTTTTGTTAATTTTTCATAAATACGTTTCTATGGCTCTTCTGTGTCCTATGGTTTCGACAGTATCGTGACCGACCCCGCCCAGATGCCCCTTACAGAATCATAGACTGCACTTTAATTTCTCTTTAGAGGCATTTTAATATTTTTTCAGTATTTAGTGTCTGTCAAGTAAAAGTAAAGTAAGTAAAGTTTGTCCCGCTATACGCCATGTAGGCGTTTGGGGTGAGTGGAGGTATAGCTCCTCTCTTCCTTGACCTCGGCACCAGATGGGGGTGAGTGGTCAGCATCACGCCCCGGCCGGCTTTACCCCCGGGAAAGGACCCCGGTACCGATTGTAGAGGAGGCTGGGTGGGCCCCAGAGCCGGTCTGGACGCAGAGGCTAGAGGAAAAATCCTCTGCACCCGTCGGGGATCGAACTCCGGTCGCCCAGCCCGTAGCAAGTCACTATACTGACTGAGCTATCCCGGCTCATAGTGTCTGTCAAGTACTGTTTATAATGAAAACAACAGAACGAGGACAGCATTAAAAAAGACATCTTGGGTGTCAATGAAATGAAATGAATATGTTGCTGGAGGATTTGGAGATACACAGTTAAGAGGGTGAGAAAGTTTTCTTTTCACCAGGCAAATAATACAAGTTTTCACGCTGTCTGTCATCAGATGTTGATTCCAAAGTGTTACAAGTTTAACTGGCATTGCAGTTGCTGATGTATATGACAATGAATTTATGTACGATTTGAGGTTTTCACAGCAGTGAATCTGAAGATTGGTCTTCTGGGTTGTTGTGCCGTGTAGTCTGGTAGATTTCCACCAACGTTTCAGAGGTAACCCTGCCTCCGTCATCAGGGCGCTGAACACTGGTGGAAATCTACCAGACCACATGGCGCAACAACCCAGAAGACAGAAATCTTCATGACAATGAATTGCATATCAGATGGCATTTAATGATGAAGAATGTGATATTCTTATATAATTCATAGAGAGAGATGATACGATACTTGAACAGCCACAGAGAGAAGATAAATGTCACATTCCCTTTGTGTTCTGTGTACAGAAACGTCATTGTATGTAAGGAGACTTAAGCACGCTGTTACAGATATTGTTTGCAAGAATTTTCCTTGGTACAATGAAAAAATTAATAGATCGGCTGTTAATTTCAAGTCATTTTATCATTATTTATATAAGTACTGAAGCATGTTTCATTAACTATTGTCTATTATGAGAAAACGTTTATTGCCTACGTGTTTAAAAATAAGTTTTCATCACTACAGTAAAAGCCAACCGTGTTCAAATTTCTATCTGATAACACAGTCCTTTATTTGTTCTAAGTAAAAGTTTCAGCTTCTTTACTATATAAGACTTGAGGTTCTCACAGCGGTGAGTATGAAGATATCCGTCTTCTGGGTTGTTGCGCTGTGTAGTCTGGTCGATGTTAACCAACGTTTCAGAGGTCATACTGCCTC